CACATCTGTAAAATGACCATTTTACGAAATTTGGGAGAGTTATAAAATTTTACATCTATGTACATAATTTGTTTCGTGTTGTCAATAGCACTTTTGACATATGATCAGATATGGCTATACAACAGTTTTGATTATAGTGACCCTCCCTACCTACCCTGACTTCCGAATCAACCAATGTACACAGACCGTTGCCACTGACTTGAGCCGCCTCGGGTACACGTACAGTACCCTCCCTATTTTGAGATAGGTACCAGAGGTGTACGCACGCTCACTTCCCGTTGCGCTTTGCGCAACTGACGGTTGCCACCGCTAAGCCGTTGACTCTAAAGTCCCCTACCAAATCTCCTCTTTGGTGGCGGAGCTTCGAGCTACTTGGTCTGAACTTATCATCCAACCGTAACTTTGACGCTACATCGAGTGCTTGGCACATCTGTTGCCAAAAAAGTAGACATACTTTACAAGGTCAGGCGGTACTTCACACCTGAACAGCTTTTAAATCTGTATAAAGCACAAGTTCGATCGTGTATCGAGTACCGCTGCCACCTTTGGGACGGCTCTGCCCATTACCAGTTAGCTGCCTTGGACTCGGTGGAGCAAAAGCAAAGACCCTTATTAACAGCAATTCTCTTGTGGCGTCGAAGCGATAAAATCTAGACCATCGCAGAAAAGTTGTCTGCTTGTCGGTTTTCTATCGGATACATTTCGGGGAGTGTGCTCAGAAACTTTTCAATTTAGTTCCACCCTCACCGTTCCACCTTTGGTTGCCTAGAAGGTCGGGAACACTCCATCCTTATGTCGTTGATATACCACCCATTCGCACTAAGTGCTTTGCTTCCTTCTTCCTGATGTGTACGGCAAAGGAATGCAATACTCTGTGTTTCGTGTGTGTATTAGTTATGACAAAAAAAAGCTACGCACCTGGAGAGACCGGAGAATGTCTAACTCATCCTCTACTAGCTCTAGTAGCGGGCTCATACCGGATACTAGTAATACCGGTTGCAGTGTCCTGTGATTATGTCCGGACATAGGTATCATATAGGGTACGAATTGTGTAAGGTGTTGGGAGCTGGGCAGGATATACAGCGAGCCATGACGATGACAGGTAGACTAAAGCAACAACCTAATGGTGGCCAAGCAATAAGGCTGACTGTCAATCAGCCGTGACCATGTGTTCTGTAAAGATAGATAGATTTATCTGATAGGTAGTTTTGTTTGTGATTTGTTGTATAATATCAAGTGACGGGACGAACAAGTCGTGCGCCTTGTGATTATTTATTTATTTATTTATTTATTTATTAAGGTTCATCAACAATTGTTACAACAAATACATTATGAGTGGTTTCTATTCTAGGGTTTATACTAATTGCACAATTTTTAACAGATGAACACCGCGTGGAAGTATATTAGTGAATTCAAAAAAGTAGTCCGCGAAGGGCTAGACTCGTATCTATGTATTTACTTAAATAGTAAACAATATTATTAAAAGAAAAAAAAAAGTTTTGAAAGTTTAAAGAAAATTAGGTCACGATGATGTAATCGATCGACGGAATTTAACCAGGGAATCGTGAAATATATCTAAATTATTGATATTAACGATAAACTGGTTATACATGCTGCATAGACGAGGAACTGGCGAGTTGCGACCCGCTACTGTCCTGCGAATTGGCGTCGAAAAGAGAGCTTTAATTCTATGACGGGGATATCTATGCGGCACTTTAAGTTTGAATTGGCTAAGGAGTGAAGAACAGTTTATTTTGTAACGGATAATTGTGTATAGAAAAATCATGTCTAATGTGTCTCTACGTTTGTTAAGGTTAACCATTTTAAACATTTTTAACCTGCTATCGTACGAACGTATTCTTTGCGCTACACCAGATGAAAACGACAAATGCCACATAAACCTTTTCTGGATCCTTTCGATTCTCAACATGTGGTTCGCGTAGTGAGGACGCCAAATCACTGACCCATATTCGAGAATGCTTCGCACTAAGCAGTTGTACATTATTATTTTTGTAGCGGGTTTACGGAATTCCTTGACGTTACGAAGAACGAAACCGAGTGTTTTCGAGGCTTTCTTTACGATGTGATCAATATGTGGTACATACGTTAATTTTTTGTCTAGCAGCACTCCCAAGTCTCTCATCGTGTCAACTTCATTTAGTATGGAGTCGTTGATTTTGTAGGAGTATTTGAGAAAACCTTTTATTCGACGGGTGAATGTTATGTTTACACATTTAGTTGCATTCAGTGTCATTCCGTTTTTTTAACACCACAACCCAAGATTGTCTAGGTCATTCTGCAAAGCTTTGGAATCCTCCACAGAGTGTACCACTTTGAGAAGTTTTAAGTCGTCGGCATAAAGAAAGGGAATAGAATATTAACCTACATTTCCTACATTCCTATCCATAACATTTGTTGTGCCACTCTGAGCTTTAAATCTCAAAGATCTTATGGGCACTGCCAATGCGCCCGTCATCCTGAAACATAAATTGACAAGTCCCCTGTAATTTCACCAGCATCCTTACCCTTCTAAACCGGAACGCAGTAATGCTTATATTGAAATAGGTAACGTAGGAGTACTTCTTTGGACAAACTTTTTTACAAAGAGCTCTACTGCTACTAGAAATTGTGTTTATTTTGCAATTCATTATCTGTGTTGTAAGTGTGAATCGTTTTTTGGTTATGTTTTATAGTTTTTTCTGCGTTATTTATTTTTTTGTGTGTGGTGTCGTTTGTGGTATGCATATAAATGTATTTTCTCTCTTTCTAGATCTGAAATGACAGTTTCCTATGAGTTATTTTAAGTACAAATTGCTTTCGTATGAAATATGAAATAAAGATATATTTGATTTTAGAATTGTTTGTTCTTTTTTATTGTTTTTTTTATAAGGCAATTAATGTTAAGGTATAAACACAAAAAGCAGTGACGCATCTCACGTCCTTAAATTCGGCATCAACCACGGCCGGACCGCGCCTTGGCCTTCGACTTGACAAACGGCGCGCGTTAATTTTACTGAGCTTGGTTTATCTTTCATCGTTAATCCCTTAATAACGATTGAATTGACGTCAGCGTTTTTTCGTGAAGGTGTGACTTCTCTCTATTGGGCTTGGGGTGAAGTTTATTGAGTTTAATTTTTCTCATAACTTACTCCCTTTGTAGATATTTGCATTAAAATCGTGCGATAGATGGAATTAAACATTTTTTTTTATTACAGTTCATGCCGCAGTAATCGAAACGCAAATAGAAGTCTCGTCAAAACTAATCACATGACCCCAAACACAAGACACCTGTCTACCGTTTCCATCATCAGATCAGTTCTAGGTCACCACAATATTTGTTGGATTTCATACGTTTACCAAAAATAGTATAGGGTAGATCGTAGCACTTGTCGTATCGTAGTACCGTACCTGTACGATAAATTACAGTACACACTCACAGTACACACACAGTACACAACGCAATGTAAGATTAGCCACTCGTCTTGTATATCCTAGACACGCAACCGCGGCATTTCGAGGTAGTTTTCGTTATTCTGCTTCGAAATGCTGGAATAATATTCCTCCTCCATTATAAAAATGTGCCACGATTGCCATGTTCAAGAGAAATTTTAAATTGTATTTAATGGATAAGCAAAAGAGGTACGACGAGTGGGGTATTTTATAAGTGAAGTGTTTTTCTTGATTTGTTTTATTATTGTTTTTAATTTTCATTTTATTTCATTTTTTTTATGTTTATTTTTGTCTGTTTTTTGTGTAGTTTATTTAGGCCAGCATATGTTATGTTATATTATTTTATAGTGTATATATTTTTTATATGTGGTAAGAGTTGTCATTGTTTAATGATTGTTTGTTTATTGTGATGTTTAAAAACCTATATATTTTATGTTATGTTAAGTTGATGTATGTATATGTTTCTGTTGTTAAAGTGTATGTTCGTTGTAGTGGTGTCCTTTCTGTTGTGGTGGCCACAGAATATCAGCGCCGGTCTGTTTCTCCGTGAGCAAACTGGCACATGCTGAGTGGTGACCTGGTTCCTTATTTTTGTAGTTGTAAAGTAGTTATTGTCAATGTAATGTGGACCAAATAAATATATTTTCTTTCTTTCTTTCTTTCACTTGCGAGGACTTCCTTCCTTTGTATCCTCCACCCTCTTCCAACATGCGCACTTTGCTGCTGCTGTCTCTTTTACCGGCCAATGAGTTAACAAAAAGAAAGACGATAGTCTAACCACCATTTTTTGATACACAAAGTGTTAAGACACTGAACTTTGTGCATCAAAAAATGGCTAATTAGCGCGATTGTGTTTTTAATAGTTTCTTTTGGTCGCAATACACTGTGCTCAGTAGTGAACCTGAGGACTTTTCTTCCTATGGCGGCCGTATCCGTGAGTGTGCACGTTCCTATCATTTTCCTGACATTTTCTTCGAACTACTACATATACTAGTTCCAGTCCTTATAGGAAGCTACTCGCAAGTGCAGTTACTCGTGGTACAAGTACCTTTTAATGTAATTTAAAATCGCAAAAATACAGTCCACTACTTATCGGTATTACACATCTTCGTTTCGCACTACCAATATTTTACTTTCATCGTGATTATTGTCTATGTATTTGGGAAGTGTTAACACCGGGTAGTGGAAAGTGGGTAAATTTCAATAAAACCGGATTCATCCCCTAATTTGTAACCTTTAGAGGTAGAATATTCTCTTAAAAATTAAACGGGACCTCTATTGGGTTACTCCCTTTCCAACAAAAAAGAATTATCGAAATCGGTTTACAAATGTCGGAGTAGTTGCGTAACAAACACACAAAAAAAGATATTAAAAAATGTGTAGTCATATTCAAAACCTCCTCCATTTTTTAAGGTAATAAGAATTACAAGAACCATCCATGGTATTGTTTTGTCAAAAACAGTTTAGTATAAAATTATAGTGAATCTGTTTTAATATAATTTTAAAGCCAGAGTTCGTAAATAAACAACAAACAAGCTGAATGTACTTACCGGCGTGATACAGGGCGGTCTCGAAGGGCGCGCGCTGCAGTCGTTCAGTGGTGTCTGCCAACAACGAGTACTATTAATAGATGATCATACTGTGTCAAGCGCCATAACGCGTCGAAACGCGGCGCGCCAAGCGGAAATCGCGGTGAGACAGTTTATAAACAACACAGTTAATCACACCACTACATAATAGAAATAAACATTTACTGCCTCTGTGGCCGAACGGTTATCAGCCGGACTGCCACGCAGAGGCCCTAGGTTCGATTCCCGGGCCGGGAGAAATATTTGTATGGCCTACATTTATTTCTCTCGTGAGTTTGGGTGTAATTTGTGGTTGTCTATATGTGTGTCCATGGCACCCGCGACACAGGGTTGCCCTAGTGCGGGGCTATGTTGAGTATGTGCGTTTGTGTGCGTTATTATCTTTAAAAAAAATTAAGACGAAAAATATTAAAATTAAAAAAATTTTTTTTTTTACTTATACCACAGAACAATAAATACAGTAGAAGTGGTTAGTTAGCGTATGACGCGAACCAACTTTAAGGGTCGTATTCTAGAACTCTACTCAATGCTCAAGTCAGGATTTGAGTATGGTTTAAAGCACTCGAAATCATACTCAAGTATTAATTACCATTAGTACCATTAGGGTCGTATTTCCAGTGTTTGTGTTTTCATTGCAATCCTTAGATGGCAGTACATTGATTGAAATTTCAATATAATATCAAAACGTCGTAATAATAGGTATTGATGATGTTGCACTTTCTTCAACGATGTGCCAACAGGGTATAAAGTTTAAATTTAATTATATTAACCATCCAGAATTTGTTATTTCTTTTTAAATTTGAAACTACGACCAGTCAATATCAAGATTTTGTAGTGTTTCAAATTAAAAATGTATGACTTTTGGCAACATCGGTTCTGATAGTAATTGAGGCCTAAAGCACTGATATTATTTTTTCTTCCGTGACTTAGACAGACGGATCCATTAAAAATAGTGTATGAATAATCTCAGTACAGAGTACTAAAAAAACTGACCCCAAAAGTTATTCATCCCCTAGCTTGCCACCCTTAGAGGTGGATGGGACCAATACCGAGGTATACTCTTTCCAACAAAAAAAGAATCATCAAAATCGATTCACAAATGCCGGGAGTTATCGCATAACAATCATACAAAAAAACACATACAGTCAAATAGAGAAGCTCCTCCTTTTATTGAAGTCGGTTAAAAAGAAAAAGAAGGTCGGTTCCTTATTGAGTGTATGTAACACTCAGTATGGAGAGATTAAAGTGTGGTCAGATACTAATGTAATTTTATATGAACGTTCATATCAATTTGTAAAATACCAATAAACGTTTCACTCACCCCTCTTTCCACCCTCACAAGCACGTCATACAGTGCGACCGAACTTCGGTCGTAATTGCGCGCGTGAGTCGGTGAACAACTTTAGCGTCGTCGTGTGGCACAAAAATATAACCGAGTGCAGCGTAAACTAATCGACTCATGAAACGCCATTCAATTCACAACTCAAAGGTTACGCTCATCTGGCCTCACCCTTATCTATTAAGGTGGCAAGAACCGTTTGTATTTTTTTTATATTGACGGTGGGGAAATTTTCGGAATCCTATTCGTTGGAGAACTTTGAGGAATATTTTTTGGAATATAAATTATACTTTGAGACAAATAAAGAGCAAATTCAGAGAGGCCACCAGGCTTAGAATTAAAAAATGTAATTGAGCCTAAATTAAATATTGGGACGCACTGCCCCCGATATCAATCCGTGAAATTATTTAATAAATTACCTGTAGATAAATTCTACTAGATTATTACTGACATAAAGCTATTAAAAAAAGACTGAGAGATTTATTATTACAAAAACGCAGTTACTCCGTAGAAGAATTTTAATTTTTTTTGTCATTTTATAAATTGTTGATATATATTTTATTTTTTTAATCAATTGTTTTGAATTATTCCATATGACTCATTATAATTTTTTATACTTGTGCCCTTACATTTTATTACTGTTGATTTTTTTTTATTTGTAATAATGAATTTGACTGTGTATTTTAATTAATTTTTATAATTAAATTTAAATCCATGACATTCAAACACAATTATGTACATTCTTAATGAATAAATGACTGAATTGAATACTAGTTTTTAAACATTATTAGTTATAAAAAAATTCTTGAAGATACGTTATGTTCTTTTTATATTTCTTTTTAATTTATTATACATTTAATTAACAGGGTCATGATGTTCCATCACGTATGCCATCGATGCGATAAGTAGTAGGAACTATTATATTAATATTATAAGAGAGTAATTTTCATGGTAACTTTCTTTACCTAATTTTGGTGGCTCTTTTGTTAATTAAGTATTCGAGCATATATTACCGTGACATTTTGAATAATGTTTCAAGATATACTTGAATATTTAGTAATACTCAATGAGAATATTTGCCACCGAAATCAGATAGAGAAACTAACCTGAAAATTACCCAAGATAGCTATGTCACACATAATTAAATATATTAACTTTTCTAACTTACCTGGCGGTCGTAACGGTGTATCTATAGGAGCGTCATGAAGCTTTTGTTTGGTACCTGCGAACAAAACGAAGCTAGTATAAGTAATCGTCATCATTAACCCGTAATAAGTCCCACTGGTGGGCACGGTTCTCTTCTCAAGTGAAGGCTTATTAGGTCAAAGTCCATCATCAGGCTTTTTCAGGTTTCATCACGATGTTTTCTGCCACCATTAGCGAGATATACTGCTCTTAAACATTCACAAATTTAGCAGCAGCGGAACTCCTTGTGAAAGGGTGAAAGGGTTCGTCCAGGGAAGAGCACCTTACCTATTTCTGCCGCCAAGCAATAATGTCAGCATTACTGTGTTACACTTTTGAAGGGTAAGGGTGCTGGTGAAATTACAGGCACATGGCACTTGTCAACGTATGTGGCACTGCAACTGTTATGGATATGCATGTCGCTTACTACCAGCACGAATTGTTAGTCTCGTCACTTGAAATTATAAAAAAAATCTGCGCATTTTGATTCGTTCCATCCGTCGATTTTTAATCGTCATCGCCTTAATTAAGAAGCAGTCAGCAATATTGGGGAATGAAAATAAAGAATAGATGTGAATAATAAATATAAATACCTATATAAATTTCAAATTTGTTTAGAATTGATATTCAATTATTTTTTATGTGAAATTACTCCACTAGTTTGTTATAATTATTAATACAAAGATCCAACAAATACTCGATTCGATCGACGAAATTCATAGATTTCTCATAGATGGCGCTACGGCTAAAAAGTCGTTGAAAAACCAAATACGACAACAAGCATATATAATAATTCGTGAGGTACGCTGGTTCGTTCCGTGGCTTAGTTGGTATAGCGTCTGCCACGGTATGGTATAGAAGACGTCAAATCGAATCCCGCCGGATCAAAAGATTTTTTTCTGAGTGTTCGATCTTTGTATTAATAATTACAACAAACTAGTACCTACGTAAATATTAGACAACGTTATATACGTTGCTTCAATCCCAAAGTAAGTAACTAAAGCATTGTGTTATGGAAATCGGAAACAACAAAGGTACCACAAACACCCAGAGCCAGAGACAATATAGAAAAGTTTACCCGACTGGTGATCGAACCCGGAACCTCAAAGTTGGCGACATCATGAAAACCGATGTGGAAGTCACACGACCACGGACGTCGTCATATTGAATTAACTCTCGAAGCACTATGCAAAAGAACCAGACCAGATTCACTAAATGATTATCACTAGTAACAGGTTTCTTACCACGGTATAACTTCTTTTTATAGACATAGACAAGAGGGTAGACAGATATGTCTGTCCATAAAGCTGTCATCTGCCGCCGTCCAGTCAACCCGTGACCATGGAGCGTGCAACCGTTCCGAAATATCGGGAAAATAAAAAGAAGTTATACCGTGGTAAGAAACCTGTTACTAGTGATAATCATTTAGTGAATAACCACGAAAGTCTTAAAATCTATACAGACCAGATTCAGTTTAAAAACTTCTTGCACAGAGTAACGAACAGTATATTACTCTCTGGTTTACCGAAATTTGTTTCCATTCTTTAGAATTCTAACAATTTGAAAACCGTGTGATCCTCATTGTTTTCTATGAGCAATTTATACACGGTGATAAGATAATGTACACAGAGTTTATTGAAACGCATTGATTGATAGGCTACAGCATGCCTACGGTCGTTAATGTATTATCTGTGTTTTGTAATTGCATATATGAATTTCCTGTTGTAGTGAGTTTATATAATTGTTGTAATCGTTTATATTACACGTCTAAGAGACACGGAGCGAAAGTACTTTAATTGATATGATATTTTGCTTCATGGATATACTATTTTATTTGTATAAGTAAGTAATACTGCATTCATTTAAACTATTTATTTTCACACACATAAACAAAAAACAAAGTTACAGAAATGATAAAATAATTACGTAATTTACAGAAACAATTACAAAAAAAAGATTTACATTTTAAATATGCGTGTGACAGACACGTGCTCAGAGAAATGTTGCTTTTCAGCCCGATTCGGCCATGACAGCACTACATGGTCGATGACAAACACACAATATTCAAAGAATTTTAAAAGGTGCATGCATCGAAAGAGTCATAAGGCTTAATTCCTTCCAAGTAACATAGTATCGTAATTGAAATGAGAATTGGGAACTTCACACACATCATTAAATTGCAGATGTGTGTAGGTTTCCTCACGATATTTTTCACCGTCTATTTTACACCTTCTGCTTGAGACATCGACTATATACTCGATGGCTAATGACATCTCTAATACCAGCCTAATGGCTACCACGGTTGCTTTGCAATGACAGTAGTTGCATGACGCGACTAGAGTAGCTCCAAAAAATTATCACTTAACTATAAATATACACATATATCACCTAAAGTTATAAATCCTATTGTCACGATGGCACCAGTGTTAAATAAAACATTTCATTTCAATATACTCCAATTTGAAGTTTAGGCAGAGACGAATAACACCTAAAAATAAAAATATAAGAATGTAAGCTACATGCAATTACTTGTCGATCTTTGCCTCGAAAGTAGCCAAAGCTTGCATTTTCTTTTGAAAGTCTAAGACGACTTTGAGTTTCTTATTGGAGGAGTCAAATCATTCTAGCACTTGGATGTAGCGAATTTGAAGCTGCCGCGGTAAACCGTTAATCTAGGACGTGGTGGTATCTATATCCATCTCTATATATGGTAAGAATGATACCGTATCGACCGTACATTGCGACAATACGTTCAAATCCAAATAATTTCATTTCCTATGATAGATTCCGTCTGTTCAGCTGTTCTTTTGTCGAGTGTTATTTACTTACATATGAAGTGAAGATAATTAAAATTTTACTTTCGCTAGATAAAGCACAATCAGATACCATTACAAATCCCAAATTAATATAAAAACAATCAAGGAATGAGATGGACATATACAATAAAACAAAAAATATAATACGTAGCCAAGCTGATATCCGATCCGATTGCATCACGCAAATGCATTTTTGGTGTGTAGTGCACCTAATGAGAGATCTATACATATTTTGTTTGTCTATCACTGACCACTTAAAGTAATCAACGTAAAGCGCGCTTCAGACTAAAGATGCATTTTCGTGACGTCACGCATTTGTCTCACGCAAACGCAGAATGCAAAGGTCACCGCTCTGGTGTAAAATTTGCTTTGCATGACGCATGAGAGACACAGGAGTTATATGCAGTAGTCGATATATCGGCGTCAGATTCTGACGAAGGTACTCTTCGGCAGTTAATAACGAGAAGAAAACGAGAAATGTACTGTACGGGTTCAATACTATGGTAATTTTAAACAGATGCTATGTTTGTTATAATTATTCGGATTCGAACCGACGTCTTCTAGCATACCGTGCCAGATGCATATCAGCTAAGCCACGGAACGAACCAGCGGACCTCACGAATTTCTCTATGTGTTTGTTGTTGAGTCCTTGTATTTGGTTTATATATTTGGCGCTGTACCATTTCAGTTTTCTAATTTGTGATTTCAGCGCAAACGAGAGTTGATATTTAAAAGTGATATAATGCTGGCAATGGATGGATGGCCCTTATTTCGTCTCTATTTCTGGTTAAAAACTCGATGCAATAAGTACTAAATACCCGAATACGCTTTCTTGTATCGCTATTAACAGTCCCTTGTGTTATTGGTATAGAATATTTGCATTGTATGTATTGTGTACACTTTAAATGACACACGCGTGTTGCATATTTATGTATTCCTATTACAACTAACAACAGGCATATAATAAAGAAATTGAGTACTGCACAGCTATTGCAGTCTCAGTGTGAAGTGCTGCTAAGTTCTATTCCTCCAATGTCATTCAATGTTATAACAAATAGTTCTTACTACAGTCGGTGTTCCACAAAGCTACAACCTCCAATTGGACTAATATCACTAAATCTCATTCATACACACGCATCAAGCAATTTAACAAGAACGCAAACAGTTGGCGGTCATCTCTTATCTTAGATCAATCCTTATTAGTTTTAATTGTAACCGCGCCGGGATACAGCTAAGTGTAGAACGGTGGGAATTTTTCGGGTTCAATCTTGTTTGGTCCGGTTATCACCGGTTACAGAAGGTGCTGCTTTAATAACTGACGTAGAATAGTAATTAAGATTGGTTTTAGTATGTACAGTATAAATCGTTATGCTCTGGTGCAATAACAGTTTTTTGTCAAGAGAATTATCTCTTAAATAATATAATCTGCTGAAAGAACTAATTTAGCACCCTTACCGAACCCTTACAGAAATAGGTAATATGGCAGAACTTCTCTGGAGGCTATAAGTGTGTACGTTATTATTAATACCTCATTACGTCTTCATTTAAAAGTACCTTGTGTACTAATTCAGATTAGACATTATCTACCAACGCAATCTCAACCAAATTCGTTGAGTGATTAAGAAAGCAATTTTGAAACAGCCACCCAAACTATCTCATTTGTAATATTAGTAGGATAATTGTAGATAAATACCTCACGCGACTTGGCTCAATCGAACGATAGAGCTATCTAGGGCTAGATAACACTATCATGATGTTCACAATATTAATGCCATTGTCTGGCTATCTGTTTACCCTCTCTTAAAATCAACATCTGTGCATCATGTATGTGGATTATTCTACCTGGAGGAGTTTTCTTTACAACATTAGGTCTTAAAACAGGGGGTTGATAACTATGTCTGATGTATTTTCTTTCTTTATCGTCGTTGCTCTGGTACTATGGTGGGCTAATTCTGCACAGAAGCTCGCCTGGGTTGTCCTGCCAGCGTTTGAGTTTTTGTATTCTGGATAAAGGAAAGGAAAAGCTAGTACCGCCAGAGGCATAACAACTTTAAAGATCTTCAAGTTCAGCATTTGCGTTGAAGGCATCGAAAAGTATAGATTGCGGGTGTTCTCTTCTGTGTCTTTGATGCTCATACATTATTTCTTCTTTCACGTAATAACTTTATTGTATTTAAATTCTGTGCTCGAATTGTCTTTATTGAAATCAATTCTACAAATG